GCCCCCCCCCCCCCCCCCCCCCCCCGCCTTGGTTCCTACCGTGGAAGCAGTGCTATGTCAGGCCCAGGGGTAAATAAATACGAGTTTAGGGCAATAATGTATTTCTAGCTCCAGCACCCCTCAGTCATTAGGAAAATCTTATTCTTTCTACCCTGAAGTCGCCTCATTCTTGCCAGAAAGAAAACCTTCAGCATATTTAATCTCCCAATCAGGCAAAGGATAATGCAATACTGGAAAACCAGGCATAACTTTAGGGCCACTATGCTCTTCTTAGCTGGTTGAGGATTATTTACCTTTGTGCCTGCCTGTCTGCCTCTCCGAATGACACACAGCACAGGACTTTTATTATTATTTACGACGTGCGTCAACCCGGCGGGGGGTGGGGGTGGGGAACCTCTTAATCTCCCAGAAAGGCTTGAAACCTGACTTGACCGAGCAAGTTAGCGGTGGTGAGCGGCCAGCCCCAGTAACCCTACCCGCCTCCCGACACACAAACGCCTGCTCCAGGAGTGTACCCGATGCATACAGTTGTGCCGCGCTGAGTTATCAGATCTACCGGTTCCAAACAGGTGCGGTGCCGGTCAATAACTGAGAACCATAGGCGAGCCCTGCCCCCCAAACTTCACGTTCCAGATCCTCCTCGGGAAAGTTAGCCCACCCCGGCGAACCCACGTCGCAGCGGCGCTTTGCAAATTGGAACACACTCTCGGGTGTCCCCCTTTGCCCGGATCTGATTAGTCCTGCTCTGTAAACCCCCCGAAGTAATGCGAAGCAAAACTTAATAGGTCCAGGGAACAGACGCGTCTTCTGCGCAGACTTCCAAGAAAGGACCTGGGAGGCAGGCACTGGATCCTTCTCAGCGCCCACATCCCTTAGGGTTCCCCCTCCCCCGCGGCGCACCCGCCCGGGGCGCTTACCTGCATGGGACATGGTGATGGTCTCGTTGGTGCTGGAGCCCACGTTGAAGATGACCACCGCGGAGGCGTTCTGCAGGAACGCGTTCCGGATCTTATCCCTGTAGGTGCAGTTGCCCTTGGGGATGAGGGCTATCCAGTTCTTGCCACGGGCCGGGGCGGCGAACTTGGTGCTGGGGTCGCAGGCTAGGCGGTCGTGGGCCGAGCTGGCCATGACCACCTCCCCGCGGGCGTCCTGCTTGGGCGAGTGCTCCCCGTAGCGCCCGCACTCAGTCTTCTCGGTGTGTAGCTCCGTGCCGCCGCCGCCCGCCACTCCGGGCCCGGGGTCCGACGCGGGCTCCGCGTAGGTGATGTTCACGAAGGCGGTGTACCATTCCTCCTTCTCAGCCACGGTGAAGTCCAGGCAGAGCAGATGCACGAAACAAAAGGAAAGCAGCCATGTTGAGAGAGCCAGACTGCGGCACGCTTGGATGAGAGACATTGCCATCTTTATCCGCCGGGGCCCCCTCCCCGTCCCCCGCGCCCTCCCCCCGCCCCGTCCCCCCTCCCCCGCCCCGGCCAACTCCGGGCCGGCAGCTTCTTCTTTTCCTCCTCCTCCCGTTCACTCCGGGGACCTGCGGGTCCGCGGCCGGGACGCGCAGCCGCCGCGGGGGCCGCGTTCCGAGGGAGAGGATGGCGCTGGCCCCTTCCCCTTTCAGCAGGAGCGTGGCGGTTGCATTTCGCTTCACCGGCGCTGGAGGGGCGCGGGCGGAGGAGGCGCTTGGGCTTGCGGAGGAGTCCAGCTGCCGAGTGTCCGGCTCCTTGGCCCGGCTTCTGCTTCTCTCATAGGGGTGGCAGGGGCCGCTGGAGCGTGCGGGGTGGCGGCTCCGCGCGCTCCGGCCCCGGCGGGGGCAGGCGCAGCTGCTCCAAGCCCCGGGGGCCGCCGAGGATGTCCCGGCCGCTGCCGCCGCCAAGCGCTTTAGCGAGCGGCCACTCCTGCTCCGCGCCGGCTCCCTTGCGCTCCGCACTCCGCTGCGCTCCTCTGTTCGCCGGGTGGCTGCGCGGTGGACGCGCTCGCCGGGGGAAGGGACGGCTCCGGGGCAGAGGGAGACAGCGGACAGAAGGGAGTCCGAGGTCTGTGTATGTCTGTATATGTTTGTGTGTGTGTGTGTGTGTGTAATGTGTGCGTGCAAGGAGGAGCTTAGTGTGATGTCAAAGATTCTGGGCTCCGCTTGCCACGCTCCCTCGGTCTTTCTCGGTGGGCAGCAGCGACCCCTGCCGGGTCTCAAATTCAACCCAGTCTTTGACTCGGTCCGGGTGGGGAGGCAAGAGGGGAAGCGAGCCCTTGACCTATACGGGCAGGAACAACTTCCTACGCCTTATATATAGCGGACCGCGTGTGCCTCTCCTAAACAGCTTAATCCTGTGCAGAACTGCAGCGAGCTCCCTAATTACCCATCCTAGGGCCAAAGGCCAAGGCAAAGTGGTACCGAGGGCCTTCCAACACCACACCTGGAGTACCTCGGGCAGTGCCGATCAAATTTAAGTGCATTAGCATCACCTGGGGGGACGTTCCAGCTCAGACTGATGGGCCCTGCCACAGAATTTCTGATTCACTACATCTGGGTTAGGGCTCCAGAACCTACCTAACAAGGTCCCGCGTGATGTCCATGCTACTGGTCTGGGGTTCACTCTGTTGGAGGGAGGTATGCGTTTCCTTCCTCCCATCTGGAAACAAACATGTGACATTCGTTTTCTTACAAAATTTCTTACCAGATGGGTGTTTCTATATAAGAAGAGAAACAGAGTGAACGATTTCTCCACGGTGTTTATTCGGGTTGTCATGACTGGTAGTTTCAACAGGCAAGGGAGTTTTCTTTGGATTCTCCTTTATAGTGTGTTCTCGGGGTAGAGATAGAGATCACAACTAGTCAGCAGAGAGCACAGCCGCTTTAGAGTAGTGTTCTTAAAACTGACACAGCACAGGCCCTTACCATTTAAAATGTCTGGATGGTTGTTATAAGTTACACCAACAGTTTCCTTGGCTTGAGATACCTGCCAAATAAAGTCTCTAAGATTCAAGGGATGGTTCTCAATCACTCACATTGATCTTCCCACCTGGCATTCTTTCTGAGAACCCAGGACTCAGTGATGAAAACAAAAGTCCTCCTCTTTTCTAAGACCTTAGTATGTTTGCAGCTTTCTGCTAATGGCAGTCCCCCAGCACAGCCTCTCTTTTTCCAGCACTAGTGCAAGCAGCTGGTGGCTGTTTGGGGAGAGCAAGGAGCCCCCACTATACCCAAATTAGAAGCAGGCACAAGAAGAACTACTTAGAAGAATTTGTCTGTATGGTATTTGATGTGCTGGTTTTGTGTGTTTTCCTAACTTACTCATTTTAGAAAATAGGCTTCTAGGCAATTGGGGCAATGCTTTTTATAGTACCTAATGCCAAGGAAGCAGACATGGAGACTGCCTGGCTGCTGGTCCCTGAGCCACCAGAGATTGGAGGGAAGAGTCCATTGGCTGAAAACTCTTAGCTAGGTTCTGTACAGATGACTTAGCAAACCAAGGTGGTTCCCCAAACTTCTCTGTCTCTTAGCAATTTTTCTCCGGCTGCAGCACTTGGGGAATCTGTAGCATTAAGAATGTGTGACTACTGGGGTGCCCGGGTGGCTCAGTCTGTTAAGCATCTGCCTTCAGGTCATGATACAGGGGTCCTATGATTGAGCCCTATGTTGGGCTCCCTGCTCAGCAGGGAGTCAGCTTGTCCCTCTCCCTCTGCCCCATCTCCATTTGTGCTCTCTCTCAAACAAATAAATAAAATCTTGGGGAAAAGAAGAATGCATAACTACTGCTTATCTTTTCTTTCTCTTAGAAAAGTTAGAGGCTAAAGAAATGACAGGGTCGGGGCACCTAGGTGGCTCAGTGGGTTAAAGCCTCTGCCTTCGGCTCAGGTCATGATCCCAGGGTCCTGGGATTGAGCTCCACATCTGGCTCTCTGCCTGGCAGGGAGCCTGCTTCCTCCTCTCTCTCTCTCTCTCTCTCTGCCTGCCTCTCTGCCTACTTGTGATCTGTCAAATAAAAAAACAAAACAAAACAAAACAAAACAAAACAAAACAAAAAAATCTCTGCTCTGCAGAGAGCCTGCTTCCTCCTCTCTCTCTGCCTGCCTCTCTGCCTACTTGTGATCTCTGTCTGTCGAATAAATAAATAAATAAATCTTTAAAAAAAAAGACAGGGTCAAGGAGGCAGCATCCTGGCTGGGAAATTGATTAGTTTCAGGGACATTAGTCAAATAAGTAAAATATTGAGTATAATGGGAGCCAGGTTTCTTAGTGTTGGCAAAAATTTACAAACATGGGAAGAAAGAAAGCTCTGAAGAACTCCAGAGTGTTAGATTAGTTTAAAAATGGGTATGCAATCACACGCACATATACACCTTAACTCTTTCATTCAGAGACTAGAAGCAATGAATATATCAAGTGGCCAAAAGATCTTGGTTTCTAAGCACCATCCTCCCATAAAAGAAACCAGAGCTTGGGCTGAGAAAATCCAGTCAGCCTGGAACTTCTTATAGGACAGTGCTCAAAGCATGATGGGAAACATGCCAAGAGGACACATTAGCCAGCTGGATGGAGCTCTCCCTGGCCAAATCTGGAACAATTTGAGTGTCAAAATAAATAACGATAGTATCTCATCATAACCTGTTAGATGAAACAGGAACCCATGAGTCCATGCTAACATAAGTGAATAAATAAAGAATGATAGAATAAATAAATGGAGGAGAAGGGACAGCTATTCCTGATAGCAGAATTTGAACTAATAGGATTGATGAAAGTAGAGAGTCACTGTTGAGCAGTGTTGATTAGTACAGTCAGGAGTCGTCATGGTTGCTAAGGTTGGTGGGTGGATTTTGGATGTACAGCAGGACATTAGCCTCGTCTTGAAGTACCTCCTGAAAAATACTTATTGATTACAAGGGGGGAAAGAGTGAATGTATTGTGAGAAGCCTGGAAGACACCAAATTGGCCGGGGGAACAAAATGAGTATCACCGGTCATGGAGTGTGTGACAGTACATGCCCCCTGTGATGCGTGGAAAAGAACACAGCATCATTTCTGTCACATTTCTTGCCTAGAACGCCTGGTCCGAATCTGGACACAGGGAATCATTGGGTAGACCCAAGGTGAGAGGCAGTCTATAGAATGAAAGATTTGTATGCTTTAAAACTCTTAAACTTGTGAGAGACAGAAAGGCAGAAGAACTAATCAATCCAAATCGAAGGAGACTCAAGAGACAGGACAACTCAATGTAACAAATGATCCTAGATTGGCTCCTGGACCAGAAAGGAAAAATGTAACAGTTGGCCAAAATTGCATATAATCTGTGGATTGCACGGTTATGTCTTCCCGATGCTGATTACTTGATTTGGATGTGTATATTACAGCTAGGAGAAGAAGGTTCTTGTGGGGGATAGGCTCTGAAATATCAAGGAAGGATGAGGCATTCTGCCTGCAACTTGCTCTTATGTGGTTCAAAAAAAGAAAAAGTGATAATAATCTGTCTGTGAGATCTTGGTTTCCACTAGCCGCTATTGCAGAGAAGCTAGAACCCAATTCATGATAAAATAAAAAGTCAAAAGTCTACTTGGGGGGTGGTGGAGTGGTTAATAAATCTGTTTCTGGCTTCGTGCTGATGATTTGCCTCCTTTCCTCAAGCATTACTTGACCCACTGAACTGGGCGTACACAAAGGGATAAGACAGGTGAGGTTTTTGCTCCTGTGGAATTTACATTCTGGGCTGGAAGAAACATATTGTTTTACGTTATATCAGGTAACAACAAGTGCTAGTGAAGAACATGGCAGAGTGACAAAGGGTGACCTATTTCATAGAAGGTGCTATTTTGCATCAAGGTCAGTGGCTCTGATGTCCTGACCTTGAACAGGATCCTCAACGTAGGGGATCTACATGTATATTTGGGGGACTGGTTGAACCTGGAAGAGGGAAGCATGAATATAACAGCCCTGAAATCCAGATTGTATTTGCTGTGCTTGAAGAAGAGCAAGGAAACCACTGATGTTGGAGAGGAGTGAGAGAGGAGAAAAAGAGAGGTCAAAGAGCTGGATGGCCCATCATAGGGAGCCTTGGAGTCCAAGGTAAGAGTACCTTGGATTTTATTCTGACTGGAAAGAAAAGCCTTTGGAGAGTTTTGAGCAGGGAAATGACATAGTCTGACATGTTTTAAAAGGTTTATTTTGGCTGTATTGGCATGAGTATGGAAGCAAAGAGAATAAACTGGTGCTATAATAATAATTCAGGGAGCAATGGATAGTGGCTTGTGCCAGAAAGGTGGCAGTGAACAAGGGGAGAAGTGATTGGATCCTCAATATATTTTGAAGATGGAATAAACAGTATTCTCTAGTGCATTTATTTTTTTTTAAAGATTTTATTTATTTATTTGACAGGCAGAGATCACAAGTAGTCAGAGAGGCAGGCAGAAGAGAGAGGG